GGCCTCGTGTGTGTGTGTGTGTGTGTGTGTGTGTGTGTGTGTGTGTGTGTGTGGGGGGGGGGGGGGGGGGGGGGGGGGGGGCATCATCGTCGCAACGAAGTTCTCCCGGAAGAAAGCGCGAAAGCAGCGAGACGGCACAGAAGAGAGAGCCACGCGGCCGACAACGCGACGCAGCGTCGCTCCGCGCGCAGTGACAGAGAGAGAGAGAGAAAAAGGAGCCGAAGCCCGCCGAGAAATACTGACGCGCTCAGTCTCCGAGCAGCCTTCTCCAGAAGCGCCCCGACAGAAAACGATGGTGCTGTCAACCTGCCGAGAAAGAAGCAGCCAATCAGAGAAGGGGCCACAGCCCGCTTGGCCAGTCGTTCAATGGGCCGTTATCCAATTACCGCATTTCAATCGCTTACCACGAGTAATTTGGGATCGTGATTCGTCACCTTCGACTAAGAGCAATTGTAATTTCGTGGCTTTCTAGATTCGCTTTGCATACATTCGATCACATGTACAACTACTTTTGCCCGACTTCGTTACGTTAAAGCTCCAATGAGTATTCACTGCGCGTCCTGTCTGAGGCGGTGTTCACAGCGCATGCTCAGAACGGGACCCCATGCCTCCTGGTAAGCCCGCGTTCGGCAGCACTGACTCAACTATGGCCGCCACTGAATGCCACCGATGTGTACTTGACAGACCATAACCTCCTATGCACTGACAAAGCCTGGCAGGTCGCCACGAGAAGCGGCCGCCGAAATGGAAAAGGTGGAGCGGCACACAACGGATGAGAGGAGAGCCACGTGACTGGCGCCCCGCTGCGGCGAGACGCCGAAACACACTTCTCCCGAGCGAATAACGAACAAGTGTGTTTCAGGGTCCTCGCCGCAGCAAAAGCTGTGCGATGACGTCCAGGTTCCTCGAGAAATGGCTCTTTGATGCTCTGTCTTACCAGACCCTCGCGCTCCAAATCCGCGACCGGGCGCTCTATGATTCCGTAGTAGAACTTCCAGGCTTTAACAGGCGATGATGCATCCAGTGTCCATCTACCAGCGCCCCCTGCCAACTCAAGACATACCAGGCTTTGCGAGTATAGAGGAAGCTATGGACAGGCGATAATGCTTCGAGTGTCCATCTCCCAGCCCCAGCCCCAGCCCTCTCCCCCCCCCCCCCCCCCCCTTCCCCCCCTCTGCCAACTCGTGACGCTTCCAAACTGGGTCGGCAGCAACGCGTTTCAAGTAACGGTATTAACAGTCACGTGTTGCTGCTTTAGGTAGTTACATACTCGTTACTTTTCTAAAGCAGTAACGGGGAATCTACATCGGTTACTGTTTTCGAGAACACAGGTTTACATCGGGGGTGGCTGCAGACAGCGGTTGGCGAGCCGCCTCTTCAGGGTTCAAGCGCGGCTTCGTGGTGAGTGTAGTTCTCCCACACGACTCGCGCTAGCCAAACTTGGCTGATTCGGAGAGCCACGGCGCCAGTGGCCGCGACTGGAACCCCGGAATAGGGGCACCCAACCGAGTCTTCTCTCTCGACCAAGATCCGTTTCTTTCTCCGCTCCCTCCCCCCTATCCACTCCCCTTCATGCAATAAAGATGTTTTGAATCGAATGGACCACACCCACGCGAGGCTTATCGGGTGTGGAGTGAAGGTCTCGAAACATTCTCTGATAGAAGCAAACTTGATGTAAACGCAAATATAATTTTACAAAAAGTAAAAAGGCGACGTTTTTTTTATGCTGTCGCCTAAGCGAGCGTCGGTCATCGCGTTTATACTGGGAGTGTAACGCTAAAAAAAGAACAGCGGTGTGTCGCGTGAACTGCCAACCCGCACCGGCAGGTGACGCAGGCAGTCGCCCCGGGCGATGCTCGCGTGTTACAACATTTAGCGGCTAAACATACGGCACTAGTATTTTATCAAGACTCTACGTTGGACATTTGCACAATATTTAAAACTTGGGAGCTATTAATCCTTTTTTTCTTGACAGTAATATAAAGATATTACTTATACTTTAAACAGCCGCAATAAAAAATAGAAAAAAAAAACCTTGAGCAATATTGGTGGTGGTACTGCGAAACAACGAACAGCTGATTCGCATCATACTAATGAAGAAGATAAAACAGAAAGAAGGGCACAAGGTGTGACGAATGGAAAACGTCGTATAATAAACCTTCCAACGGTCAGACACGGAATACACAGAGACATCTAAGGGCGCGAAAATCAACATTATTGAAGGTGGCAGCTGTCGAAGGAAAGCAAGTGCGAAGTACAATGGCACTACTTTTAGACAACAGTGCACAATTGTAATTAACTACTTTTCTGCACAAGTCGTATTACAAACAAACAAAAAAAAAACGGGCACAGACGAAGGGAAACAGGACAGGCGCATTGTTCTGTTTCCCTTCGTCTGTGTCCCTTCGTTTTTTCGGTGCCGTTTTTTCGTCTGCAATAAACCAACTGGCCACATCTCCACTTTATTGAAGTCTTTTTAATCGTAATTTTGTACTTTTGGACCGAGATATAGTTAAAACCATGAAAATTAATTAGATCTGTGAAGAAATTTACTGAAGTATGCGGGAGAGAGCAGACGCCAGTTTGTTTTACTTTATGCGCGAACGCTACGCCAATAACTAAGGAATTCCTTTACGGCGGAGCAATATCACGAAGGAAAGCAGACTATTTATTTCCGCCTATCCTTCGCAAAGCTTGACGACGTAGTCGCGACGATCACGGCGTTGTCGGAGTCTTGCAGATTACGCCTTGGTGACGATAGTCGATGGCGGCTTGTACACTAGACAGGAGCACTGCCGGGCACTGCGTGAGCACTCGACATGGTCACATGACTACGTGTCGGCGAACGTGCGACGAGTGGATCGTGTCCAATCGCTGCAATGACGGGAATGGCCCAACTCTAACATTATTCGCGCCTCAGCAGGTGCCCTTTGATTTTCCAATCTCGGATCACGAGGCCTCCAGCCGAGAGAGTGAACGCTGATATCACAGTGAAGATGCAAGCGAGCTGGTGAACTTTCAACATTGTAAAACCCGAGACGTAGGACAAAAGGAGAAGAAAAATCTTCTTTTGTCCTACGTCTCGGGTTTTACAATGTTGAAAGTGAACGCTGCTCGTTTTTCTCATTGCTTTTTGGTCGCTGCAGCGCAAGTGCGTCCACCGGACGGCCGTCTTGCGACGCAGAAAGTCGACCTTTTGGAGCGCAGCGAGGCAGGGCGGGGGCGTGCTGACGGAACGTTTTCTGCTCGTTCATCGCCCTTCGCCAAGAAAGATTTTTTTTTTTGTCTTTTTTTTTTTTAACTTTGTCTAAACAATGATAATTGTCTGAGAACATGTGGAAATTTTTACGAAAGCGCAGCACCGCACGAAAAAGGCACAACTCGTCGAAAGCAAGTCTCGCCGGCCTCGCGGCGTGATCAAAGCTTCCCTGATACGCCCAAGTGCTGCGTTTCTGTGCCTTCGCACGCTTGGATACCGATCGAGAATCGAAGCCGTGTAGATCTGTTTCGCGAGTGCAACGTGCGTGAAGACGTACGCGACTTTGGAGCACAGTTTTACTTTACTCTGACCGCTGTATTTGTTGTGGCATTCGCGGCACAGAAACGAGTTCGATGCAGTGGCGATGGACGAGAGGAGGGAGGGGGGGGGGGGGGGGGTAATTGAAGGAAGGCTTTTTTGTGGGATACACGCCAGAGGCTCGAATAAGCATCGATCGACAGAGGTGGTGGAATTTCTCAAGTAATTGCATGAGGCGACAAAGGAGCAGTTTGCAGTAGGTATTCAATTATATTAATAAACAAAACGTGTTATAGAATGGAGCACAAATAAAAAAAAAACTTATTCTGAATCACACAACGGGCGGTAGCTTGCGCCACCCATACCTGAAAACCGAAAACACAATTCCTCTCCGCCCCTCCTGCCCCCCCCCCCTTTTTTTTTCCAAAAAGTAAAAAGTAACACAGTCCGGTTTTAAAGTTTGCGCGTCCTTTACACCGCGCAGGGTCGGGGAAACAATAGATCTCGGGCGCGGACGGGGTCACCTCCCCGTGAGTGAGCCGACCACGAGCTTTGTCCTCCCTTCAGAGAAGAAGCCCCTCCTTCT